ATTCACGAACAGCTTCCGATGATGCAGATTCAAATCGAAGATTATGGAGGTAGTTTTGCTCTCCCTCATTACGGTTTCAAACGGCCTGCAGCAGATTACTTCAACTCGAATCTGATGATGCACAACTTTGTCATAGCTGACATCACAAATGGATTAAACAATGTGATGGTTTATGACGAACGGTGTAGCGGAAAGGGGGCGGGTGCGCTTTGCAGCTTGCGACTATTGTATCACATGCAACTAAGAACAAGGCACATTAAAGCTGGTATTTTGACTCCAGAAAAATCTCTCACTCTGTTGGTTATTATGGATAATTGCGTCGGCCAAAACAAGTCACGTGCGGTGTTCGCATTCTATGCTATGCTTTCGGTTGTGTTTTATAAGAAGGTGGTTCTACTTTTTCTACTTCCTGGTCATTCGCATAACACCGCGGACCGAGTTGTTGCATGGTGCCGCAACAAAATGAAAGGGGTTAACCTTTATGCTCCCAATGAGATAGTGGCCAAAATGAACGAGTCCAAGTCGGTGAGAGCCCAATTTATAGATCATCGAAGCCACTTGCTCTCTTTCTTTTATGGTTGGCCGGAACTACTGTACAAGTATTTCACGAATATGACTAGTGGCTACACGGGAAATTATTTCTTCGAAATCGACGGCGGTATCGTATCAATGAAGCATCTCGTCACCACTCCGGATGAAGATGTCCAACACCATTCTCTTATTGGGTGCGGCGATGCTGGTACCATCCGCCGAGCTTTTCTCCGGGATCTTTTCGGAAGATGCGATTTAGACAGCGCAACAGCAAGAGATGTCACGCTTCCGCGACAGCCATTGTTGTCTCTGCCCACCAGAAAACTTACATCACTTTCGCTGAAGTATTTTTCAATCCCAGCGCAGTACTTAGACTATTTTCCTCCGATTCAAGAAGCCATAGAAGAGCTCAGGATCGTGTCACTAAGCGGAAGGCAGCACCAGGAGCACAGCCTCCAGCTAAGAAACCTGTTGGACGGCCACGAAAAGTGAAGCCCCGGCCTTCGAATCCATCTATACTCTCTTTCTTCAAACCAATAGATAAGTGATTAACTTCGTATATTAAAAAAATTAAAAATATTTTTAAATTATTTTTGAGAGCCGGGTCATTATGGTGACCCGGGTCACCGCCAAACGCTTCAAATATGAAAGAACATTCAACCACAGAAAAGGTCTGTGACAGCGACGCATCAGTTCCGGGAACTGATGCATCCGATATGGAAGGGACTCCAGCTACAAACGGTAGCTGTGATGTCGGCGTGTCAGCTTCGGGAGTTGACACGTGCTCCGCCGAAAGGTGTCGAGGATATGAAAGCGTGTCAGCTCTAGGAGTTGACACGCGCTCAGCCGAAAGGCGTCGAGGCGACAATAGCGCGTCAACTCCGGGAATTGACGGCGCGACAAGCAGTGCTGGCGGTTGCAAACGCCCAGCACCGAAAATGCTTGTGTGCTCCCGTGCAGCCGGG